AAAAAATATATATTTTTAATTATTAAAAAAAAAAAAATTATCGACCAAAGTCGTGATTTGGGGCCCCCTAGCGTCCTGGGCCCATATGCCCAGCATACTCTGCATCCCCCATAACGGAGCCCCATATGTTACTATGTTACTTTAAGTGGAATTTTTACCCTGAGCCGTGCCTAATTTGTGACCTTGATATAGGCAAATTGAAAATAAAATAGCTTAATAAAAGTGTAAGTATAAAAATAACAATTATTTATTAATCTGGACACTTCACTTCTTATTGGTAGTTAATAAAATAATAGTATTATATTACTAGTACAATTCTAATAGTAGTATACTAGTGTAATAGTAATAGTATTGTATTAAAATAATAACTTGCTTTAACTGTGGTAGTTTTAAGTTTATTTAAATTCCTTTCAGTGTCCTGCAGAAGCATTTTATCCTATTGGGTATATCCTATACCAGACTGAACAGAATTTTATTTGTTTGTTTTTTTTGTATTATCCACATCTGCAATTCACATCTGGATCCATTTGGGAATCCCTTTAGGATTGGTTGGTAGAAATTCCAATAGGATCCTGTGCACATTCCTTCAAAATTGTTATTCTCATTCCCATTCTCTCTCTCTTTCCGTGGCAGTCGACCGGTCAGACCTGTCTCTGGGTTGACTGTGTGCGTCAGCAGTGCTGTTTTCAGTTTATTTTCACCCCATTGAGTGAATAGTCTGGAATGGGTGTGAGAGTTTCCTGTTTGACCCTGCGGTGGGTTCAGCCAGAGGGTAAGAGTTCAGTGAGACAAGCCGTGAGACTTTCTGTAACAGCACAGCTCACCGTTTCTGCTGCCCTCTTTCTGGCCTGTCTGTCATTGTCCTTTACTCATCTACTGGCTGCTCTGTGCATGTTAGTATGCGGGAAGTCGCCCGGCCACTTCGATGAGATTTAATCGCCCAGAAAATGGAGAGAGGTTCCTATGCACCTCATGTGGTGAATGTAGCCTGCCACCAGAAAGAGTAAATGGAAATGCCTTTATGTGCCTCATATGCGTCCGCAGGTGGCCTGAAACTCTCGTCTCTGCATTGCGTTTCAAATAAACAGTAATGAGTGAAATGTAAGAATGATTATTTATATTCTGCAGATGTCATCTTTCTTCTTCTCTCTGGTGTAATAACCCAGAGTTATAATGGAAGAATTGTGTTTTTTTTGCCTACAGTGCTACAATTATGATTTTGTTATAAATGTGCTGCCGTCGGCCTTTCTATGTGGAGTTTGCATATAAGATGGATGGATGTGCACCCCTACATTCATGTTCTTATGTTCGGGATGTTTTGTGCCAAAAACTAGGCAATCTTTTGCCATTTTGATTGTGGACTACAGCTCTCTTGGGTAATTACACTCTTAATTTAATTGTGATTTTTTAATCGTACCTGTTAAACGTGTTAAGCAAGTCTCTCAGTCAAGTCAAGTCAAGTCACCTTTATTTGTATAGCGCTTTATACAATATTGGTTGTGTCAAAGCAGCTTTACAGTAAACGGGTAAATAGTTTGTCATTAATGCAAGAAGATAGAGTGTCAGTCCTCACATGTTAAGTAGAAACACATCAGTTTTCATGGTGGTCTTCGACAATTAGAATAGACGAGCAAATATTGCGAGCACTGACATGGATACTACCAGTGCCTCTATTCTCCAGATGGAAAGCATTGTTTTCTACCACAAGCCGCAGCACTAATAGTCTTGACTGAAATGAAAACAAATGTCAGGCTGCCCCCATTAATTTAATCAGGCTTCCCTCACTGAAGCGTCACTGGGGAGGTGCATGAGTGAGATATGAGATCAATAAGAGTCATTCATCTGTCCAAACGACCAAATCAAGCACTCAGAGAGAGACTACAGCTGTACGCAATCAATGTGTGCTTAAATAGAGACTGTAGCCAGATTTATCTATCCTGTTAATCTGGATTTAGAGCTGTGCCCTTATGAAACAAAAAATATATGGGAATATACTGCAAAATATAATGCGATATATACATTTCCATATATGGGAAACTAGTGCTTATATTTTTCAATATACTGCAATATATGCTTTGACCATGTAGGGCTATATATTGATGCATATAAAAATATCTAGAAATGAAGACAAAAATAGCAGTACATGTAATCAAAAAGTTTTATAAAACTTATAATTGAGCATTTGTTCACAATTGATGGAATGAGTTACAGCAGATTTCTAGTTCCCAGCATGCTTTGCTGTACACATGCAGTACCATCTCTTATCACATGTACTTCTATATGTTATGAAGTGTATTACTGAATATAAAATTAAATATACTGTCACATATTTTTCAATGTATGAGAAGTGTCAATTCCTTATGTATTGTTCAATATATTTCAATATATTAGCACAATATATTATTCTGTATATTTTCCATATACTGTTAAATCATGTAATATATTGATCACTCATATATAAGGAAATATTTTTTGTTCCATAAGGGTGAAACGTCTGGAAATGTGTTGCAGGGGTCCTGATTGCTGTCTGGTCCATTAAAAAAAAATTGTATTATTTATTGAGTTTGGTGTAATAATGGAGAATAATGGATTTTGTGTATCGAAAGTCCTTGATTCTTAGATGACAATACAAGGCATTGTCATGCTTTTTTTTTATTCTCATGTTTTTATCTTTCATGAGCATACATACATACAAACAAGTAGCTCCAAAAATGACCAATTAATAAATAAATAAAAGTATAATTAAATAAGTTTATATGACTTATAACAAATCGTGTGAAGTCATGTAAAAGTCATTATTCCTAAAATATCTTCTGCACTTTCAAACCGGGTGTGTCGTGATGGATGGAAGAACCAGTTAAGTTTGAATAGAGTTTCTTCACTTCCTTCTTCTCATGTGTTGAGTATACTGAATTTTCAGCTGTATGTATAACAAGGTTGTGGTGCTTCAGAAAGTCACTCAGTTTGATTGGGTACATTTCATCCCATGTGTTGAGTAAAGACAGCTATGACGACATAATAGAAATTTGGTCAATTTTACCTAATGTTTGTCAATACACAACTAATTACCTATAAAATTGAGTAATATGAGGTTTTTTTTAGCTGTTTTATGCTATTTATAGCTATTCATAGCAAAAATAGCTTAAAGTATCTAACATAGTAGATACTTGCAGAGAACAAGTAAGCAGTTATCTGTCATTGCTGCACTGACTTCAGTACAGCTGTGGCTCATTGTGTGGAGAAACACACTATAAACATAATTTGGTGGACTGGTGTGCACGATAGTCCTGGACTCCATCTGCTGTGGAGGTTCATTTGGAGGATAAGGACCACTCTTTGCAACAAGTCATGTCACCTTTATTTGTATAGTGCTTTATACAATACAGATTGTGTCAAAGCAGCTTTTTTTGTCAATAATGCAAGAAGACAATAGCAGAGTAATTTTTCCAGCTAAAGTCAGTTCATTGATGATTCAGTGATGTCATCATCCAGTTCAGCTCTCTTCCAATAGTGTCTGTGTAATCAGTCAAGCGTCCCCAACTAAGCAAGCCAAAGGCGACAGTGGCAAGAAACCAAAACTCCATCGGTGACAGAATAGAGAAAAACTCTTGGGAGAAGCCAGGCTTAGTCGGGGGGCCAGTTCTCCTCTGGCCAGACGAAACCAGCATGGCGTGGTTTAATTCCAGGCTGCAACACAAGTCAGATTGTGCAGAGGACTCGTCTGGTTCCCGTGGTCTTGTCCCGATAGCCGTCTAGTTCACACAGTCTTCACAGGGAATCTGTCTCTAGGGCTCATCAAAAACTTTAACTTTAGTTAAACTAAACTTTAGTGCTGTTGAAAGTTATACTTCAGTTTGAAACTTATAAAAAATATTGAAACAAAGGCTTATAAAAGACTTTTTATTATCTACAAAGGCATCTGTTTTCCCAAAGAAGAAAACGGATCTCTTTGTTTTGAAGGTTTTCAAGTATAAAGAGCATTTAAAAGATCTTCATACTCCTAAAACTGCTGAATCAAATGTAAACACGTACCCAGGTCAAGGTCTCTCGGAAAATTAAACTTCTTAAGCCTGAGGCTAATTCAGCTTCAATGACATGCCCTTGTTATTCTGCACACACAAACACAACTACTCAACACAGCGTTCTTTGCTTGAGGAATCAATCTCGTCCACTGACAATAAGCGTAGTCTCTTTATCCTGTTACTCTCTCAAACAAGACAGTCGTTTGTCCTCAGTAATGTTGTTTACTAAACTGATGTGCTCAGAGGTGCGTTAAAAAATCAATTCGAGCAAGTCTTGTTGCTTTGGATCATAGAGACAGAACGCTGTTTAGAAGCCTACTTTTTGATTTGTGGCTATCAGCCATGTGCTACTATGATTCCATCAAGATACGACAGACTGAAATCAGTCTGTCTTGTCATAAACCAACTTTAATAATTCAGAAGCATAGCTGTCAGCTACAGCTGGGCAATATATTAAATATTTACAGTGTATTTGCAATGATTTTGTTGCTTATAAATGTATAAGTCATTGTGGGGGGGGGGGGGGC